CTGTTCGCTATTTCCGGGGAGATTAGTGTTAGATATACTGCTGAAGCATTCTGACCCGGGAGTGTAATCCGTGTGGATCTTCCATCATTGCAACAAACTAGATCCAAATCATCTAGAGAGTCAGCAATTATTCTTCCATTAGCATTATTAGTTACCTGACTTCCCCAAAGTGCATTCAGATCGCCCATTATAATTTTATTGCCTTTGATTTTTTCTATTCACCCAACCCATCCATTTAAATCCATTGTTGCCCCAGCAAGAATATAAACATTAATGATTGTAATGCCACAATCGATTATTTTAACAGCTAAAATTTGAATTTTACTATTAATATTGTTATAAGTATATACTATTTTATGATCCAAACTATTATCAACAGCAGTAGCAATACTAACATAACCTTCCAATCTATTCAATCGATGTATTTTATACCCTCTTAAATAAAAATGATGATTTATTATTACCATTTATCATTTAATAATATTACTTTAGGGCTAAAATCGTGTATAAAAATCTTTAAACTATTATAATTACTGTTTAAACTTTTTATCTTCCATTGTAGGATGTATGGATTCTTGGGATCCATCTAGATCTAATAATTTTCTATTTGTTGATGTTTCATATGTAATTAGCTCATTCAAGTAGGTGATTAGGTCTTCTTTATGTCTCTAATTCAGTTTTTTTAGTATTTCATTCAAAAATTTTTCAGTTTCCCTCTCTAGTTGTTCTGTATGTAAACATACAGGGATAAGAATTTTAGATACTACTACTAGCAATAGATAAACTAGCAATAAGGGTTCCCTCTTCAAATCCCCCATTTGGAGACTTTAAATTCTGATTATGAAGTTCTATGTTTTATTATTATGAAGTTTTATTTGACTCGTTCATTTTTCTTTAATTTTTGTTCCCGTTATTTTCTGTTTTTTTTTTGCTAAACCACTGTTCTGTGTCACTGTGAATATTTTCTATCCATCGCTCATTAATTGGAATTCTGTCAGGTATATTAACCTGATTTGATAGAGGTGGAAATTCATTCTGGCTTACTCTAACTGTATTTTCTTTAGCTAACTTTTTATTGGAGATGTATGGATACCTATCACTTGCCTCCAAATAAGAGAGATTATCTAATCACATAACAGCTTTAATAATCTGTTGTCTGACATATTCAGGAAATCCTTTAAAAGTACTTACATGAAAATTACTAATAAAATGGAGACATTTCATCACACTTTCACCTTCATGTGCTTTATCAGCACAATTTTTACATTTTTTATTCCCTCGAAATTGATTTTTTGTATGACCAAAACGAAAACAATGATAGCATTGAACCACCGGAATCATATATTTTACCTTTACCCTAAAGGGATTCTTACATATAAAAACCTCTTTTGGAATTTGTTTTCCTGAAAAGGTAATAGCAACTGTCTGTGTATTTATATATATATATAAATCATACTTTGATTTTGTTTTAAAACGTCTTACCTCCAAAAATTTTAATATTTTACTGAGGATATACCCGAAAAACTAATTAATTCAACATCAGAAATACTTGCATCAACTACACCCTACAAGTTACTTTATTAGCAGGAATAAAGAGTTCATATCTATCATTTTTAATCTCTATATTTGAAACGAATTTATTAGCACATTCCCATTTCTTAAAAACAACGCTAATTCGGTTTTTACCTTTTTTATTAATTTTTTGTACATTCTCAATTTTTTTATCATGTATATATTTAGCTAGCTTTAAAAAAGTATAATTTCCGACGTTATTGTTTTTGATTCCATATAGACCTGAAATGGGCCAGTGTTGGTATACTGATAAGAATACTGTTTTTTTTGTCTTTTTTACCGTCATGTTGATTAGTGGTCTCCCCATTTTCATTATTTTTAACAAATGATTTGTCTAAATTTATATTGCATTTTAAATCTGAATTATCTATCTTACTTATCATCATCTCAACATTAGGGGCCAACCCCCTGTGCTATCCCCCATTATTAAACCTCTTTAAAACTTTGTTTTTGTTTTTCAATTAATTATATACAATGTGTGTGTGTGTTTTATTGGCACTGGTTTTGACAACCAACTGGCCAGTCAATATTTAATTATATACAATAAAATTACTTATATACAACTAAAAATTAAATTAAAGTTTATATGGAGAGTAACAGAACTATTATAATACAACTTCTCTCCACAAAAGCCAATCACTGAAGCCGAAGATAGCGTCAACCCTCAACCTCAAATGAGTTTGACAGAACCTCTCTCCTACTTTCGATGGACAAAATCGACAAATTGTTAAGATGTTCTTCAAAAACCGCGTTTCAAGTGAGACAGTTTTGTGACAATCGTCTACTTATAAGACAAATCTGACAATTTATCAACTGATAGATTATAATATCACAGTTACCAGATCTTATATGCAGAGTGTTTCATTATTTTTTGGAAATATTTTAACTGTAGATTCCTGAGCTCAAAATATTAAGATTTAACACAATTAGTTTAAATACATCGTAGTTTCTTACTGAGATACTGGGTGTTATTTTAAAAATTTAAAAATTATTTGCATCCTGTACTTTAAAACTATGTGACATATCCTTGTCATACTTGGCAAAAAGTGAGAATACTGTACACCCTACTAAATTATGTTAAATAAACGTTTCTGGCTGCTACCAGAGGCATACGACAGGGAAAAGAGCATTTATCTCGTTGCATTCATTTGTGCTTAGAAGTTGGAAACAAATAGAACTTTAATTACCAATAGAATTTAATATATTTTGCTGTATTTTTACAACTTATAACGCAGCATTTACGATATCACATTTTCTTTAAAAACTACTTATGAAATATGCTAACAATGTTGCAAGATTGTACCGCTGCACGCGCACGATCGTTTCTCGCATCCCCTCCAAGTACTTGCCTACAGCAAATAAACGAAATTTGTCTGATGTTGAAAAGACACATTCTTTATTGGGTAAATTAAAAAGCTCAGTTTTATCGGAAATCGCAGCTCTTTTTCTTTCATATCTTTTTATTTTTCCGTGTTACTCTAAAGCCCTTCTCTAGAAACATACTTCGTGGTCATGAGGCACAATAACGACATCAAGCGTTTTTAAAACAACTTGTGATCCTAAAAACAAAGCCGGGAATTTTGGTTTATCCACTGATGTTCCACAATATGTGTCAAAATTGTAGCAATAACCAGTCGAATTACAAAGCGTCCAGTCCTTGGCCCAACTCTTACTCGTTTTCCCCATATGAATTGTTTAGAAGAGTGATCCGTGAGTTTAGATGAGTCCAAAATACTTTATCATCTCTTCAGTTGATAAGTCTTTGTGGAATTTACCCAAATGTTTTAAATTGTTTATTTAGTTTATTTATGAGAGACCTCGCTCTATTAATTTTGTTCCTTGTATCAATTCGCTAATTATCCGCCAAACGTAGGTACTTTTTAATTTCTTGAAAACGGTTTCTTAGAATTGCATTAGTCACGAGGAGACCCTAAGGATGCTCATCTAAACACCAATAATTGCATTCTAGTGGCAATTTTAAAAAGTAAAATAGCCAGAAATATCTATACCTCTTCCTGCTATAAGTTAAATAGATGATTGTTATTTTAAGCGACATATAAATTTGTCTGATCTGTAGGTAAACTATTTAATATTTATGTTGTTAAAAAATTAATCAAATAGTTCGATAGGAGATTTACGTCAGATTTGCTCTCTCATATCATCCAGACGATCCTTGTAACATGTTGTAAATGTTATACTAATATCATTGTTTAAATTTAAACAATGCTAATATCATTAAGTTCTTCCGCTCAGTCAGATTCTTTGGTTTTATTTTAACTTTTCAGTAAATTTTTTCTTCTAATGGCAATGAGAACATTTTCTTATTCGCCGTTGTCAAAGTCATCACTTATGTAATGAACATTTGTTTCTCCGGAAACATCATTTTCTACTTCTTGAGTCTGAAAATCATCCTTATCTATGTCCTCATTGTCAGTTTGATTGTAAGCCTCAGGAGGAACATCTACGACCGATACATCTTTATGAGTGGAACTCGCTAGGTCATCTGAAGCTAAAACGAGTGTTTTATGTTTTTCATAACATTCAATGGGACTCATAGGTTGCAATTTTTGAAAATTCATTCCAATACAAATATTGAAATAATGGATAACAAAAATCCAGATAAACATATTTGATCTCATAAAAACCCACTGTACTCAAATGAGTACACGTCTATTTTATAACATAAAAACAACAATAGAAAATTTTTTTAAACGTTTAAATAAACATCACCAGTACTTACCCTTTCAAACATCAAAGTTAAAAAATAATTATATGAAAACCACAAAATAGAAACGCCAAACACTATCATTACATATTCAACGATCCAATAGAAATATGGATAAATCGGTAACGGTTTTAAAAAGAAAAAGAAAAATAAAGTGTTCTCAATTAATATGGAGGTATAATGGAAGTTGTATATAGAAGTATGATTGTAAACAGTGTTCTTAAGGCAATTTGCATACTTTGATGAAAATATAATAGTTTCATGAATAATAATATTCTGATAATTTAATTATTTTATAAAGTGTTAATATTCTGCAAAAAAAATTATTATCATGTGTGAGATAGGAGATATTAACTGTAAACTTTCTAGAATTATAGAAGTGTCAAATATTTATTATCAAAAAAAATTTCAAATTACTTGGCTCTCAAGATGATAGATAGGATTATAATTTTTCTTTGACCGGGACGCTTACCACTATCTATTTTTTTTTATCGTTAGCATCTTTAAATATAAATTCGTCATACGCTTTATCCTAAATAAACAGTAGATAAGTACATCCACAAATGATATTCTGATATTATGTATAAAATAATTTTGAGTCAAGATCTTAAAAATATTATCTCACGCTGACGATTTTTTATCGTAAATTTTAATAAATGTGCACCAAATTTAAAATATACGAATATACGAATATATTTTTTACCTGTACTAACTAATAATCCCTCTCCTAACCATCCTTTGAGGTAATCATATTGGTCAGCTTTATCAATATATTTCGTCGAACTTAATACATGCTCCACGAATTTCTCATCTGTAGCAACCAATGCCATACTAAATGGTCCATCATAAACCTTGACTAATTTACCATAGTCACGTATAAATCCTAAGAAAACATCTAAATACTCTGAAAAAAAAAATTATCAATAAAGCCAGAGTTGTCTATTTACTAAATCTATTACTAAAATCTACTACTACTATCTACTACTAAAACCAATACTTTTTTTCGTGCGTTTAAAAAACAAACAAGAAGTCTTCTTCTTCTTATTATTTTTCTGGCATTTGGTCATAAGACTTTTGTAACAAACCCAGTTTTTTTTCTACTAAACTCCAATAAGTCACGTGGAATAACAGGGTCAACAGCTTTTTTATTGGTAGTTTAAGGATCTCTTCTAGTTTAATCCTGAATTGGCGAGTAAACTTCTAACTCGGTTTATGGTTTATCCACCTTATAGAGTTTGTATAGGTGTTTTCCTAAATGAAAATATATAGTTATCATTTTAATAATCATTTTAATCTTTGGTTTATGGAGCTTTATCAAACTGTCGAGAGTCTCATCGATATTCTCGGTTATTTTATTAGTCTGCATTTGCTTTTAAATTGCTCCTAGTTAGCTCTTCATTTCTGTTGATTATTCGTTATCATCTACTTCTAAAGCTTGTTTCTTGAAGCATCTTCGGCGATCTCACATAATGGTTCTGTGCCTACGAAGATTTCTTTCGAGCCTTGTTTTACCAACAAATCTGCTATTTTCAGGTATTTTTTTGTGACTTGGCTTTCATATAAACAACAGTTTCTTTTCTTTTGCCAGGTTGTTAAGAAGATCTTTGCAGTTTCTCACAGAATAGCTTCTTTGCTATCTATATAATTGTTAATTTCATTTGATTTGCGGTATTCATTCAGCAATTCATCAATGCAGGCCAACAAAGTAAAAACTTCAACCTGAAACACAGTTATATATTGACCTAGACTCTCAGATTTGTTATAATTAAGTTTTTACCCAAAGGCTTCTGATCTAGTTTCATGGGCAGTTTTAGATTCACTAAAAAACAGTATTCAGTCCCCATTATTGTTTTCTTATAGATAGATTTCTGAAGAATATTTCCAGTGGTATTTGTGTAAATATTCGATACATAATTTTGCCTCCAAGTATTGTTTGCTTTAAGAATCTAAACAAAGACCTTGTTCAAGTCAATCAATTTTTGGGATAGAACTGACTTAAGTTTCTAAATACTTTTGACAAATTAATGGTAGTTGACTATTTAGGACAATTAACGACTATATGTTTTTATAATTTTATAATGTAATATAAACGTAAAGTTTTGATATTGTTCTACTCTTTACAAACATTCTTATAGACAAAACTCTAAGAATTATGAAAACTAAATACGGTATCCAGCAAGACCACTTATCTCTCATTAAACATTATGTCCAACACTTATTTCATCTTTAAAATCAATTCTACATACAAATTATTGGTGCCCCAATGGGCTCCCCACTATCTCCAGTAATTGCCAATATCTTTATGGAAGACTTCACGACATGAGCACTGTTCACATCAATGCTCAAACCCACATGTTGGCTACCACATATTGACGATATATTCGTTATTTAGCACCATGGCAGGGATGCTTTAGTGTCTTTTTAAACCCTACTAAATGGTAAATATCCTAGTATGCAGTTCACGATGGAGGTAGAAACTGATTCATCCCTAACGTTTCTCGGCGTTATGGTAAAGAAATACCAATTACAAGGTTTTCATCATGCTGTTTGTCGAAAACCCAGCCGTTTCTGGCATAATGACTTTATTCATCATTTACTTTTACACATTAATTTAGGCATTAATACCCTTGTCTCCAGATCTATATGCCTTTGCGATTATGCAAGTAGACTCGCTGAGCTCTCTAGTTTTAAAACAATCCCTTTACCAAAACGGTTAGCGCCAAAATCACATCAATAGGAGGATTCACAGACATTAATCTCCACTCAATCTTAACCAAAAGTATCACCGACAAATTTCTTAAATTAAGAGGAATAAAGACAATATTTACCCCCAACAAAATTTTTTATCTCTTGTCTGATCAATCAATGACAACATTTCAAATGAACAACACGGAGTTTATTAAAATTCCTTGTGCAGACTGCAACCGATCCTATATATCGCAAACAAATGGTGGAATCCAAAATAGAATTTATAATTCATAAAGATTACAAAATTGATTTTAAAAACTCCAGAACTATAGCTCTGCTTTTATTGACCAAGAATTATCCGAGAAGATTTATATGTATATATATATATATATATATTATATATATATATATTATATATATATATATATATATATATATATATATATATATAATATAAAATTAATATTTCTTGGGTAAGGTTCAATAAAGATATGTTACATGTGGAACTAGATTTTATTTTCCATTGCAATTAATCAACGTTTCGGCAGGAAACCAAAATAAAAAATCTACAATTTATAGTTATATATATATATATATATATATATATATATATATATATATATTATATATATATATATATTAGAATATATTGAGAGAAAGTCAAATTTTAGCTTATTTTAGTATAGCCTATAGTATTGTAACCTTCGACCTGGAGGGATCTCTTATTTAAATTACGATTTTTGTTGGAGTCTTGGTAACTATAGACGAGACGATCATCATAAAAATACAAAATTACTAAAAAGATAATTTAATAAATTGGGAGAGTTTTAAATTAGTTATTAAAAAGGATATCAATCTGGTACGTATTTGTAAATCTAGAATAATTGGATCATGCTAACCGGCTTTTTACAACTGTCACTGTCTGAGATTACGGAGAGCTCTATACTGGTATGATTCTACATAGGACAGACTAGGTGAAAAAGATTTTATCATTAATAGACCGTATTCCAATGCCTAATAGAAAACGTCCTATGGGGAGGGCAGCTACTAGGTCATTAGGTAAAAATTTAATATTCTAACATCACAGTGACACACCTAAATACAACCTTACTCAATCGGTAATTCACCAGACAGATGAACCACAACTGCCTTATTATGGTGAGTTTTGCGCTGCGATTTTTACGTTTTTCAATTCCAATATTACCGTGCCCATGGTTTATGGGCTGTAGGTTTATGGGTTAAAGCTGGCGAATACTGGCAGGCTTATAGCCATAGCAAATTGTAGGCGCACTGCCATGCACAGACGTCAGCAACTAAAAAATATATATATTTATAAATTTTAAAACTTATTTTCAGAGGCAGGTTAAGACAACTACGATATTTACATCGGAATGTTGGCGCAGTAGATCGATGACATAACACCGTTTAAACTGAAGGCACCAGAAATGCGCGTAACGCATCGTTATAAAATAAAAAATACGAAAAATCTGGGTAAAACTCTACTTGCGCGACATCCCTATAAAGTCAACCAAGACTATGTAGACAATACGGCGTTTAATCAAGACATAAATATTAAACTCGGACTTCTTTAAAGCAACTATTTCCCTTATTATCAAAACGCCCCTTAGAGTATGCTTGAGAATACAGAACCACAAGTTATAGTGAGATCGCACTGTGCTCACAGACTAACCAGTGGCACATGATAGACTCAATCTCATACTTATTAATGTAATACCTAGAAAAACAACACTAATTGATGTTGCGATACCTATAATCTGCGAAATAGATACACCAAAAATATCGTCAAGTACAGAGATATGGAAATCCAAATAAAGAGGCAATGGAAAATATGAATGGAACCTACTTGTACAAAAAACTGCTAGGTGTAAGTAAATATCTTTATAAGAGAATGCAGAAAGCTGTACTAATCTCGACTTTCAGATGCGTACGAAAATTTGTCGAAGATACTCCAGTATACTATGTCAGGTAGGACTCGATGGCACGGAAAAAGTTCCATTAGATCTCAATTCTTTTGTTTCGGTAGGTATCTGAGATAAGTAATTTTTTGTTTAAAAGAAGTAAGAGGCATATGGCTTAATTTCGATAAAATAAAGATTTAAGTCAAGAATAAAAGACAAAAACCAACGTTTCTGCTTTATCATAACAAATTAGTCGAAACATTATTTCCGAGCGATTGTCGGTATAAGCAATCCCCCACTTAACTGACCAAACGGCTTCGGGCGGACGAGTTGGTAAGTGGCAGGGCACTCTTTTGTCCTGGAATTGAGAAATTGATTCGGAAGGCGGAAGAACTATAAAACTACAAATTAGTCAACGGCATAAGGATGCAGAAAGCAAAGGAGAACTACTGCATTAAAGGCCTTTTGGCACTCTTAGTTTTAACTATCATGGCTGTAAATAATTTAAGTCAAAACATTAGTGATCATGGATCTCGGAATCAAAGATCCGGCAAGAGAGGACAATCTCAAGACTACAGGGCCTCTCAGGTCGTTAATATGCGAAATCCTTGCAAAATAGCCACATGGAACGTCAGAAGCATGTTTGAGTCAGGTTAAAATATATAATGCCATAAAAGAAATGAAAAGAATGCAAATCAGCATCCTCGGAATAAGCGAAATGCGATGGCCGGGATCAGGAGTATGTGACGTAGATGGATATCAAGTGTACCATGCCGGAAATACAGATGCCAATCACTATAATGGAGTTGCAATCGTAGTAGCAAAACGCTTAGCTCAATCAGTTTTAACTTATATTCCCATATCTGACAGAGTAATGCTAGTACAATTTAGTTCAAAGCCGTTCATTACCAACGTAATTCAGGTCTATGCCCCAACATCATCTAGTGATGAAGATAAATTAGAAGCATTCTACAAAGATCTTACTGATGCTCTAGATCTTGTCAAAGCAGCAGAAAATACCATAGTCCTCGGAGATTTTAACGCTAAAGTCGGCAAAGGACGCTGTTTGAACATTGTGGGGGAATATGGCTTGGGAAACAGAAACGAACGTGGAGATCGACTTGTCCAGTTCTGTCGAGAACACGATTTCATTATATCGAATACCCATTTTAAACTACCACCGAGAAGACTCTACACCTGGAAGTCAAATGCAGAATCAGAGGACAAAATTATTAGGAATCAAATCGACTTCATTCTAATAAAAAATCGATTTAGAAACTGCATCAAATCAGTTAAA